CAACTACTTCATGTTCCTCGGGCACAGAGAGCAGGTGAGGTTTTATTGTGTAGRACTTGCCAGCTGAACTTGGGACATCTGAAACAAAACCAAGGAAGAGCCCTGCTACTGGCTTCTGAACCACTGCACTGACCTTTTAGCAATTCCCAGTGTGGTTCAGCACTGCCTGTTTTGGCCCGCATAACTTGTTTGTACTTCTTTAGGATTCTATCCATTATAGACATAGGCCTTCCAGGGATGCCCACATACAAAAATGGTACAACCTTCAACTACTCCATTTACCATACAATACCATTTTACACTCAATGTTTTTCAAACTAACAACAAAAATTCCATTATAAGATTTCACCAACCACAAGTGACAATGGACAGGTTACTACTACTTGAAAGTAAAGGACATATATCCATAGGCTAAGTATTACATCTGTGCATTAATTTATTTAATATCAGTGCTTTAAAAATCGTAGGACTCTTAAAGAAACATTATTTTGCTCTCAAAAGTTTAACAATTTTGGATGTGTTTGGAATGCCAGCACCACCCAAAGAGGACACAGTGAGAGGATAATTGACCTTGTCAGTAAAAGCAGTCTTCCTTGGAACGTTTAACTCATAGATGCAGTCAATTACCTTCAGGTATTGTCTGCTTCAAGGGTTTTATTGCTCTGTCCCTTTGAGATGAAATAGATTAACTACCTAAGTTAGATCTATTTTGCCTGAAGTTCCAAAAGCATTTTTGCATAATTTTAGCAATGTTAAAATTCTATCCAATTCTAGTACTAGGCTTTAAAAACAAAACCACTGACATCTGTGCTCCAAAACAATCAAATATTTATTAATCTTGCAAGTATTTTCATCCATACCCTGAATTCATAATGATGTATACTAGATTTACAGGATCAATAGCTAATTTTCACTTGTTGCATTGTAAGTGTACTGGACAAATTGTCTTTATACCTTATATCTGGTGGGGAGAGTCTTTGGTTTAAATCACTAATTCTGGCAGAGTAAAAACAAAGCACAGAAGTCTCCTGCGGTTTATGACACTGCCACCCATACAGTCTCTGCCCAGGAACCTCAGAGAGTTTGTGTTCAGTGCTGAGAAATCCCACCGATGTGATGACACGTCATCAATAGAMCTCAAAGAGAATATTTGGAATATGAAGTCCATGGCTTATGCAGTGCCTGTGCCTAGTACTTGTTCAGCACAATTAAAAAATTAAAATATYTTTTTCTCCAAAGGAAGCACAGAAWAAGGCAGACAGATTTACATAGTTTGACTTCAGAAAAAAGTAATTTTGCTCCTTCATTATTTCAACTCATATATAGTTACCCTTATTACTTTCTTTTTCCTTAACCTTTTTTTTAATTCTTTTCCTTTTAATTTGGTACAAAATTGTAAACCCATGCTTAGTCTAGAAGAAAGAGTCYTCACTGCACAGAAGAGACAATCAAACCAGCAAATGAATTAAGAAGATACTGAACTTAATTGCTTATGGCTAAGACATAAACAACTTGTGTTAATATAAGATCCCATTTCCACTGCAGCTAAAAAACAAAAGCAAAAACATAGAAAGATTCAGAGGAAGCAAAAGAAACTTTCTACACTTGCAGAGAATCAGTGTACGGAATTGCAAGCAGCCCAATACTTTTTCATTAACTCCTAATTAGACAGTTCTATAAAGAAGAATGAGTACTGCTGGATTATGCATCCTACTGCAAGTCCCCAGAGAGCTCCCRTATTGTTTATTTTCACAGAAGCAACAGGATTTAATTCTACAGTAATTACTTACCAATTTTCTTCCAGAACAGAAGTATATTACATTTCCTACTAAACTGAAAATGGATTATATCAAGTAGCTGCTGCCTTGCAACTCACTGATAAAAGACCGAAGGGAAAATATTTTAAGAGGTTGTATTTATTTTTTGAAAGGTGCTGAATGCAAAGCAACTGTTGGATGGGAAAAGCAGTGCTGAGAGCTTAGGCTCTCAAGTAGGATCAATACTAATCTTGTTCAATACTCACTGGACAGACTACAGTATGTATGCAAATCAATTTCCATTATATATGAGAAATTTATATATAAATTTGTATATTTCAAAAAAAAAAAAAATCAAGTAATTCATATTTTCACACAAGTTTTAACACTAATCTTTCAACTGGCTTCTTCAGCCTCTAATCGTAGTATACTCAGCTGAAATCTACACCAAGTATCTAGCAATGCTATTTTTAAAATATGCATTCAAAGTTTTTCCCAACACTGAGTATTGGTGGTGGCTGAAGAGAAGTTGTTGTCAAACTTTCAAAGTCGACCAAAAAGTCCTTTTTTCAACATTAAATTAGAACAGCAAAACTCCAAGCCTACATTAGTGAACTAGTCTACAGGATGGAATTAAACCTCAATGGAGATATGGGAGAAGTTAATGGAAAAATGAAAATCACTCAAATGATTCAGTGAAAACAATGCTTTAAAAAGTGCAGTCTTGAAAAATGAGGGACCAGAAAYGAGAGTTTTGTTGAGAAAAATAATATTTTTCTTTAAACTGTAAAAGATTTTTACCAGTTTTAGCCAGTTAGCAAAATTTTAAGTCACTATCAGTTTTAGCAACCCTATTTTTGAAACATATTTCTGATTTTTTTTTAAAGAACTCAGTAGACATTTTCCCATCAGTGCCTTTTTATTAATTTAATTCCAAAATGTAAGTGGTTACATCTAAAAATTTCAATCAGTACTTTCACTGACACTTATACTGGTAGACTTCATTTCATCATCCAGTGACTTTCATGGTCATTTCAGGAGAGGAGTGCAGTGAGACCAAAGTCATCTCTGGAAGCAGATCCACCTCATTCTTTGTGGACGCAGCAAGGGCACCACGTGCAGTGCAGAGCACAGAAGCCTCTGTGTAGGGCTTTGGAGACAGCTTCAATGGGCTCAACAACTCACACAGAAGGCGTCCCCACACAGTCACGGTCCAGGTCGGCTTTCTCGGAAAGCCCAGTGAAATCCTGAATGCTCTGCTAGTACATCTATCTGAGCAGCTTTGGGAACACAATGGGATCTCACCCTACAGACTCAGAGCACAGCTAAGCCAGGTCATGATTGCTCCCACTGGCCCACCAGATGCCAATAAGTGTTTTCAACTGAACTCTTTGGTACAGCTTGCACATAAAGGTTTTGTTTTTTTTTTTTGCTAGTAGATGTGAAAGATGTGCTACCAAAACAGTGACTTTCAAGAAGTTCTTGATCATTGCTTTTTTAAAGAATATGCTTAGAAAATACATGAAATTATGGTCTTATAGATTTCACTCCTTCCTGAGATGCTCTGACAGTTTTCACCACCATTTTTCTTGTTCAGTATGGAGTATGAGCCCTTTGAGACCATACAAGTCAATTCCACCTGTAAACGAAGATTGGCCAGCAGTAACTTTCAATGTGGACAGAAAAACGAAGTGGTAATTATTAGGTAATAGTCCTGTCAATAGCAATAATGTAAGTAACTTTTTAAAATACTGCACAAAGAGAAATACACCAATGTAACATACATGGTATCAACAGCAGAAGAAACAAAGGCAATGAAAAGCTACTGGTGGTGTTGCTATACTGAGCATTGCTTACAGTACAAGTGATCTAAACTTGCAACAAAACTGCTATTTAACTTGAATTTAGCCTCCATAAAAATCATCATCATAGCTAAACACACTGCAAAGTGATAGTTCAAATGTTWAGATCCTTGCAATTTTTGAGTAGTGCAAGAGAGTATTAGAAGAGAAACTAATCAACCGAACTTCGGTTAATCAACCGAAGTTCAAAAAAAAAATCAAGCATGTCATGGACAACAGACRGAAGTTATTATTAAAATGAAATATGCCAGGAATTGTATTAATTCTTTTTGTTGTCTACATTCCTAGTTGCATCAACAGTAAAAGGTTTGGAATTCTAACCATAAAGAATTAAGAAAAAAATGCCTTTATAGAACAGTTTCCAATTTTTTAAAACCTCTATGTAAGCTTCCTTTTCACTGAAGATGTGATTCAACTTTCCTCTCTTTTATGCTGTCACCATTATATCTAAGCATGATCCTTATGATTCAGCCAGTGATATAGAGCCTCCTCATTTACTAAGGCATTTTGAAAGTCTTTCACACAGATGCCAAAGAACACAAGCTCAAGCACGTTTGGCACTGTTAAACTGATCCTTTCCTGCCATCTAGGGGACATGAACTGGTGTGCAACTGCAAGACTGCCTTCAGTCACATCTAAAAAACTTTCTGTACGAAATGCTTATCCTCTASCCAGCCAAACAAAAATCAAATTAACTGAAGAGTCGCACACCTAAGGAGAAACAATCCTAACGTGAAGCCTCACTCTCCTGCTTGCAGGGTGGGCACACACACTGTGCAGACAGCTTGCAGCTTTTCTAGTGCACTGTCCCCTAAGAAGAGAAATACAGAACTCAGTGTTGAAAAGTCCTCAAGGTAATTTTAGAAAAAGTTGTCTGTTCCAAGATGCCAGTTTGCATTGCTAGGGTTGGCATCCTGGCCAGGTTTCTCATCCTTGCTCTCCTCACTGTTCCCTTCCRGGCTCTTTCACAAGGCCGACTCTCCAAAATAGCAAACTCAGCTAAATGCTAAGCATAGTCAAATGCACAGACAAAAATCCATACAAGTTCTTTCCCAGACTTTTGTTTGCATTTGTTTTGTTCTTACTTTGAAAGGGAACAGTCCACTAAAACAAACACCCTTCACTAAAACAAACAAAGACCCACACTTCCCCATGGCTGACATGATGTGACAGTCTCTTTAGGATCAAAGCTGGAGCTTCTCCGAGGTGAAAGGAAGCAGGTGTCCAGCCAAGATGTTCTGTGAACTGACTACAGCTGCACATGATGCAGGCCCCCATTCTGCCCCAGTGAACAGACTGGAGATGAAATTAAAGTGACAATGCTACACTACTGCAATACCTCTTCACCACAGAGMACTCACAAACAAAAACCCCATCAAACTTAACAGATCAACTCGATTTTATTTTGATGACAAATATTTTGAGCAGCTGTGCCCAAGTCTTCTTCACCTTAATGAGTGCAGTGTGTTTAAAGAGCTGGAAAGAATCCTGCTTTGGAGATACTGAACCTCTTAACCACCTAGATAAAAAGTAAAAAAACATACACAAATAAAAAGCCATGTGCCAACCCATTTACAGCAGTAGAATATAAATGTGCATAGGATGCCGTAATTTGTTGAACATAAGGTGATTAACACTGTTCTTTGAGAATAGCATATTAAACACAGAAGAATATTTTCAAAGTGGAAAACTACCTGCAAGACATTTATTACATTCAAATTAGCAAACATAATGCAGCATTTGGCAATGCAAAGACACACACAGAATTCTAAGGCACCCCTTAAAAATATTTTAATCAAATCACTTTTAGTTTAACAAGCTCTGAAGTTATTAAAAATAGGCCCCCCCAAAATTCCACACCAAGCCTTCTTCCCCAAAAAAATAATAGTAAAAAAAATCACAGCAACAGTGCTGTGAACAAACCCATATTATCAATGGAAAACTGTTGCAGAAAATTAAGTTGTTAGATGATAAAAATCATAGCAATTGTCAGAAATGTTTAATTCTTGAAGATACTCAAAGGTTTTAAGTGCTAAGAAATGAAAAGAATCCTTCCATTATTCTGATATTCTGATGTCTACGATCAGACCATTTCCTCATAATCAAAGCTCTATATATTACCTCATGTAAGACTGGATTTAGTAACCATACTATAGATTTACAAATGGTTTTAGCTAAAAARCATTAAATACAAAATCATACCTTCTGTTCTTTAACAGTGAAAGGACTATATATCCAGCTAGTCCTCTGTAAGTATTCAGAACTAAATTGTGAATCACATAAAAATAAACTTGAAAATACATCTAAATTTATTAAATTTATAAAACCAAAATTAAGTCACCAAACAAGAAACATCATTCATACTATTTTATTTTTTTCCTTTATAATTTGCTTCCTAAGAGCAAAACAAACCTTATTTTTACRCATTAAAACAGCTAAATATCAGAGCAAGCAGCTTTAATACCAGATTTTAACCGTGCCTTCCCTTTTTTCTTTATGCACTGCTTTTTGCTGATTTTAATTATTTTCTGAACATTTTGACTTGTCACTCAATATAGTCCTAAATGTGACTTTTGCTAACTGGTATTAATACACAACTTCATTCAACCAACCATTGTTTCCACATGTATCCAAAGTCTTTCAAACACTTATGACAACATATTTGCTGACACCCTTAAACTTTCATTAAGTTTTGTTTAAATAAAATGGAAGCAAATTGAAATTTACAAAGCTTAAAATTTATTAAAGAAAACTCAGTATGCTTAAATTTTCAGAACAAGATTAAACAAAAACGTTTTGTCATCAAAGGCCTACAGTCAGTTTGCAAAATGGTTCTGGTAACCAAATTCCATGTGGCTTTTAGGCATGCAGAAGAGCAGAACAACACTTCTGGAAAACCTGCCAAGCATTTAGGTAGGTTGGGTACCTGACTGCTGATGGGACTATGCTAGGAATTGGGTGTCCACTATTGGTTCTGCTTTGTTGGTTTGTTTGTTTTTTTTAATCCTCATGTGAGGTTTTTTGGGGCGACTGRTGTTTAGGTTTATTTGATACCTAATGTTCTCAGTTAACTCTGTACCTTTAGATTATCTTTAGATTTAACTTAATTCCCCCTTCAAACTGAATTAACAGTTACTGGACCCAACCTTTCACTACCTGCTTTTCAAATTTCAGGTGAAGGAATCTAGCTCAAACACTGTCAAAAGTTCTCTGTTTGTGCAAATAAGACAAAAAAAGAAAAATGAAGGCAAAATAGTTTCTCTGCGAGAGAATCTGTAAACGTAGGTAGTAGGTAAATAAATGTCAAGATTAGCTTCACTCTGGAGTGTACAGATCCAGCACCATGGTTTTGTTTTGTTTATAAATCAGGCTTCCCTTTTGATTTTGCATTCATTTAGAAAACAGCACTCTCACTAAAATGTGAGGAAGGCTCATGTATACAGAATTTAAAACTTTAACAGAACACAGCAAGTCTACACATAACACTGGCTGCTGTGATTCCAAATTTAATTATCGATTTATCTTTGAAAAGGYATTCAAGTTCTAAATGACTATACCAGCACTTAATAACAATATTTTTTATGCACTGTACAGAGATGCATCTTCAAGTAGAATATTCCTAAAACTACATACCACAGAAACTGAGACTGAAACAGATTTCTTTTAAGGCAGAAGTTCCATTGTGTATCAGATTAAAAGCCTCCAAAATGTTAACTACAGCTAGCCCATTAAGCATTTAAAAATTTGCATTCATAACTATTAATTCTCGTGCTGGCTAGAGCTCTACTAATGTTCCAGAAAGTCCAGCTGGAGATATGGTTATCCTTTGAGGTTAAAGCTATGGCAGAGTAAACTTAAGCTAAACACTACTTTTAATTATTAAATAAAATGTGCTCTTTTATGTTAGTAAGTTATACAACTATTTAGAAAGAGGAAATATGAAATATTGACAATGACAAAACAGATTTTAAAAAGCTATCATTGAAAAAGTTGGAATTAATATTCAGAGGAATTTCAATGCTTAAAAACAGATTCACATATGTTCATCCAGTTGAAGATTAGTGTATTAAAAAAAGTTAAGAAAATACTTTTGTGTTTCAGTTCAACTGCACTTGATTCAAGCACAGCTAAGAGGTTGGCTGATATAAATTAAACATGGTCACTGCCTCAGCAGCCAAAAGTAGAGAAAAATGTACATGTTCACAGGATAAATAGAAGTCTCTTCTTTTTGAGGAATAAAACAAAAAAAAGAAAGAAAAAAACAGAAAAAAGAAAAAAAAAAAGCTATCTCACTCCAATACGGGAGGTCATCCACTCCAAGCCTTGGCACAATCTGAAAGATAAGAGATGTTATAATTGGTACTAGTTCTATTCCAGCATCTTGAAAGTACTTTCYATTTGTTTTTATGTGTAAAAATATCTACTTAAAATAAATCAAAACAAGTGGAAATAGGATTGAAAGCTGGACAGAGTAAACAGTGTTTTAAACTAAGTCTACTTAGGCTTTAGCCACAAGAAAATAGTCAAGCATTCTATTTTATCGAAGCTTGGCAATACTTGAATTTTTTATCCCTTGTAAACCCGAAAGACATTATTCTTAAATGCTCACTCATAAGTACACGGGAACAAAAAAGTTTTTTTTTTTTTCTACACAAAGCTAGACCTTTACATACTAATACTAAAAGATAAAGGGCAAGTTACCCACACTGAACTGTTTCATGAAAAGACAGTATATCAAGAATTCTAAAATCTCATTGCAAAATTAAAAGTATGTTTATAATGAATTAGTACTAAGACTGCATGGGATCTAACCTGCTTCCTAACTCAATTTGCATCTCCATGCATTTCCATTTCAGAAGACAGAGTTTCCTTTGATTTTCTAGGAATCTCCTTACCTAGTTTATGCCTCTTTGAGCTTTACCTTTGTACAATAAATCAGGGTTTAGCTATCCAAGAATGCTGGCTTCACCCACATGGGACTGATCTCACTAGATTTCTATCAGATCTTCCCAAGGAAGACACAACTCAGTGATCYAACTCTGGGAATGTTTTTTTCTAAGTTGATCTCACTACTGCCATAATTTGAAGTATTCTAAATATTCACCCCCCTTTTTTTTTACAATACTAAAGAAGCAGCCTAGGGTGGCCACTGTTTCTAAACTAAAATTCATGTTTATTAATTACTACTTTCTTTCAAATGTCAGCTTGGTTGAAGATCTTAGTATATAAACTGTGTATTCAAAAGCGACATTAGCAAAACAGGTAGAAGGTAAGCAGAGTTAACTCTTGGAATGAAATAATACAATCAAAAATTAAAAAACCCACTTGTTTCTCATTAACATATTCCACCCTAAGGAAGCTAATGACACCATTCACTCTACGAGACAMTTCCATGGTGTCAGTCTTTCATGCTAGAAAGTGAGGTAGATGCTCTCCCTTCCCAAATACTCAYTATTGGGAAGGATTCACAATTTTTGATGTCACAAGTCCACATTATTGTAAAGGTTGTACAACACAGCTGAAAAAACCTCTAAATATGACACATTACAAGACTGCTTTAAAAATCAAGATGAAAAATTAATACACTTCACACCATAAAAGCAAGACATTATCTAACTTGTTAAAAGGTATCCAAAAATGTTTTTGATCTTTACAGACTAAGGATCTAAGCCCAGCTTTCCATTTTAGTAATTGTTGGCATAAGGTACAGTTTTCAAAATTAGCTACATTAGTCAGATGTAAACAAAAAGTTTATTATTGGTAACAATTTTGTTTTGTGACAGATCTATGTAGCTTTTCATCAAAACTATGTTTCAATGCTAATCAAAAAACCCAACCAACCAARAAAACCCCAAAACATCTCAACCTGCGAGCTTAGAAGCTTCCTGTAATTTAAAACATAAAGGAAGAAAACAGTAGCTTATTTCTTTACATACAGAAAGACACACAAGAGKTAGAGAGTAGCACAGAGAGAGCAGACAGCTATGTCAACAGCTATCTGTTTAGATGGAGGGATATTGTTTGGGTTTTGGTTTGAGATATTTAACAACAAATGGGATACTTACACATGAATTTCAAGAGTGCGTTCTGAAAAAAACCCACAAGCTTCAAATAAGAAAATGAAAAACTCAAAATGCCCCTCTGACTGCAAAGTCCAGAAAATATAAACTTTCAGAAAATCCACTCTGGTGTCAGATACTAATCAGTATTCTCATTTACCACAAATTGTCATACTAAGCAGTAAGTATTTACCCTTCTCCTGTCAAAGCACAACAGGACTGAATGTGCCACGGGTGATCCTTTATGGAGCTGAGGGTGAGGTATGCAGATATCTCAGCAGCCGTCATGCAGCCTTTCATGTCCTGCTTGTTTGCAAAGATGAGAACAGCAGCCTTCCGTAAATCCTAGAAATTATTTACAGTATTTATAATAGTTATTATGGAGAACTAAAAGGCTATTGTGGTAATTTCTTACCGTATTCAAGCTAATCTACAATTAGACAGGAGCATGGAGTTTTAACCAACTTACTGCATTAATTCATTACAGTAAGACTGAAAAAACTAATTTATTCAGAAGTGTTCACCACCACAGAGAATGAAATTGTAATGTATTATATGATATTCTTTAAGTGTTGACCACATGTTCATACATAACTAACAGAAAGTCTTGTCAAAGTGCATTTTAATAATGCTCCAAACCATTCAACCAGTGGATTTTTTTCTGGGCAAACATTCCAAGTCCTACAATAAACATTATTCAAAAGAAAAGCTTGCTAGATATCACTCCCTTGGAATTGCTTTGAACTTCATTAAACAAGTTCTGTATTGATTAAAGCAGTAATAATTTAATTCTTGTAAGTTTAACCCTAGCTTAATGTTCCAAAAAGTGAGCTCTAATAATGCTGAATCAGCTTTAATAACTAATTAAAATTGCTTTTTTCAGTACGGAATTTAGCATTCCAAACAGCAGTGAGACGAACATGCATGGCCTTAAAAGTGCAGAAAGGTAAACAAATGGAATTCTTAGGAAAGTGACAGCTGCAACTAAAAGTGTTCCATGCATTTCAATGCATATTAAATTTTGAGACTATTTTTCCACCAAGAGAAAAAAAGCCCAAAACAACAAAGCTTTATGATCTACAGTTGAAAAGTCATCCCTAGAAGTAGTCCAGTCTAAGCCTACCAACTGTTTTCAAGTGATGGTAGATCACAATTTCCTAAGAGTTTGAGACAGAAAACTCAAAAACTACACAAGGGAAAACTTCACAAGAAGTAATTACCCTGTCTTTCTTGGTAGTGAATTTACTCCTTACCATTAGACCCAAATTACAATTAATATTACACTGTAAAGCAAAAACTCACTTCTGTGAAACATAACAAGTCTCTCAGAGAAATGAACTCAACAGGATTACTTGCATTGTACTAAACTCTTTTCTTTCAAAAATGAGGGACAATATTTAGATTTTAAACAACCTTAATTCAACTTCAGAGTGATCATAAAAGATTTTAACATACTTTACCCAAGCCAGTGTACAAGTACAATGTTTGAATGCTGAACAGTCCCCCAGACAACATATAATAAAAATATAATCAAACAATTCTGAAGGCAAATGAACTGAAATTAATTTCCCCTTTGTATGGCATATACTCCTTAATTTTAAGGAACAGGATTAAAYCAAAACCAAAGTAGGCAATTCCATTTCTCTAAAATAAAAATTTATATGAAAATGTTTCTTGAAGTTTTAGCCATTTACCTGAAACAGTCAGTGGTAAAGGACAATAATACTTCGTAACCTTAACACAAAGCGTAAGATATTTCACAAGTTCAACATTTGCAAAGTAAAGACTGATTTGATTACAATCAAGCAAGTCTTATTAGAAGAGTGCTTCATAATAACCTTTCTGCTGAATTAGGGCTTATATGGTTTTAAAATGTGATCATCATGAATCCACACTTATTCTCTAAATCTTTTTTTGGATAGTATAATTTCTGTTAACATAGGAAGCATGAAATGTTATTTGACTGTTCTCAACAAAACTATTATCCCAGCACCCCACCATACCTCATGAGCCAGCATTCTATAAAGTTCTTCTTTTGTAATAGAAAGTCGCTCTCTGTCAATGCTGTCAACCACCAGAATGATGAACTAGGGAAAAAAAAAAAAACAGTATTATAGTACATAGCATGTAAATGCAAAGTACAAATTACAAAAAAAACATTTTCAAGAGACCACTACCACAAGTCTTCCTACAGAAGAGACACATGCTTTCAGAGGACACTAGAAAAGAAAAAGTAACAAAGGAGAGAAAAAAGAGACAGTAACAAAAACAGAGAAATAGAAACCACTGTTATAATTCTCCAACATATGCTCCAAATCACTTTGCCTCATAAAATTAAAGGGATTTATCAGCTATTGCAAATGACCACAAAGTATGAAAAACTAAGTCAATTTAATGCTGCTGTGACTTTGAGATGCCTAGCAGATGAGGAGGAACAGTAACGGAATTATTCCTATCAGGGAGGCTAGGATTAGCATTGTAAACAGATCTCTTTTCTTCCTCAACAGCTTCCAGCACACAAAGCTTCTAAGAAAAGGGAAGATTCTTCTTTCCAAGTATCAGAAGGCACTGGGTTTCAGACACTTACTAGATAGACAGAATATGAAGAATATCCCAAAAGTATCAGGAAAAGAATATATGCATCTCTTCAAATTCCAAAATCAAAGATCCTCAAAGAATAGATGCCAAGAACTTACTGCTCTGTACCAGGTAACACTAGCAGAAGTCTCTCTACATCTGTGTCTTAGATGTAGCTGTACTTTTCCAGATAAAATAAAATACTAGACATAAAGGCTGAGATTATATCACCAGGCTTTCTGTAGATCCAGGACAGATTGGTGATCCCGCCTTTCTTAAAGAGAAGTACAGGAAAAGATACAGCGAAAGATAGAAAAGCTCATTTTACAGGAAGATGGAATACTTACACAATGAACAGTATCTACAAGAGATTGCTGCTTTTAGTAGCAATGGTAAGAAATGAAATCTAAAGTACTCTACATCCATGCAGACATCTCAAAAAGAGATCTCAGAGATTATATGTGCCTTTTTGTATKGGTAACCTTTTGGCCTCAAAATGACTGTCATAAAAACCAACCTCCAAAAGTCAACTGTTGCTGAATTCTACTCCAAGTTTTCCAGCAACAGCAGCTCTGGCAGTACCTCACAAGTTCTGTACAGAAAGACTTTCCTTCCTCATTTGGATAAAAGCTATGAGCTGATGAGCTTCTTAAATACTTCTGCTTAGGCCTAGAGAAAGTTTCATTCCTTGACCTTAATTATCTTTATTTCAAAACCACTTSAGACTGGATGTACAGAAGTACAGCTGACCACTGCAAACCCTCATAAAATTTGCAAATTACACTGCAAAATTTTCTTTTTAATCTACTTATGAAAGCATGCAAAAAATCTGATCTAAAATGTATTTCATTATCATTTGACTGCCTAGGAAAAAGGTCTAACATCACAGTTTATAGCATAGATCAAATAACATTATCATAAAGCATACAGAAAAAAATACTTCAAATATTACCAGAAAAATGGCTGCATATGAGAGATACCTCACACTTTTTGAGTTTATTCTTCCTCAATAAGATTTTAAAAAATACAGCTGCAATCTTTRCAAAAGTCTAGCAATATTCCTAATAAATATGATTTCAAACAAACATTCAATTTGCAGATTTCAAAGCAGCTTGTCATACCTCTGTGTTTGAATAATAGGTATTCCACGATGACCGTAATGATTCTTGTCCTCCAATATCCCACATTAAAAAATGAGTGTTTTTCACCACTATTTCTTCTACATTGCTTCCTATGGTTGGAGAAGTATGAACCACTTCATTCATTAAGCTAAAGGAAACAATATCACATCATAAGGACCAGTCAGCAAAATCCACAAGGCTTGTTACTGCTCAGTTATAACAAATTTTTTGTAGAAAAAGTAAATTGATGTATCTGAAAAAAAATTTAAAATGTAGATTTATTTTGAAAACTATACATTTGAACTTCTCTAGAAAGCAGTGACTGTAGACAAGCGTACAGAAACCAGCAATGAAAAATAAGCACATAAAAATTGGAAAAGCATCTGTGTTTTAGGACTGTCTTTTTAAAGGACATTAACAGACACTTAAAACACACTTGTTTTAAAGAAGAAGCTGGCATTTTAATGATCCCAAACACAAAACCTCTAAACTGTAGTGTATTTTTGCACTAAACTGTGMAAAATACAAATCAAAATATAATTTTATCACAACACTCTACTTAATAACTCAATATTAAATCCCAAAAGACTGTTCAGTTACATAATCAAAAATTTCTCAGTTCCACCTTTAAGCTTGCTCAAAAATGCTTATTCATGAAGTCTTTTTGGAAAATATATTGTACCGTTTTGATATCCAAATATATAGATAATACACCCTCCTCCTTTTCAACAATTAAAATAGTAATTATGGTTCTGACAACACTCTTGAATTTATCATGGATATTCTTGTAATGCTACCAAGATTTTGGTGCTATGATGCTATTGGAAAAKATAGGACCTGGGGAAGCTGAAATGTTATTTTTAGGAATTCTCCATCACAAATTTTAGACCCTGGAATTGAGAAACATTTGGACCCTTTTTTTGTTTTTTGCAGAATTTCCATTTACAAATTTCCATTTGCAGAATGGCTAGAATTTYCATTAATTTAAAAATCACTTTCTTTTCTGCAGTTATTGGCAACAGGATTATTTCTATGCTTACAAATTCAGACAGCCCTTCGTGGCAAAAAGTTTGCAGTTCACTTTGTGCTTGAATGTACAATTTTGTTATTAAATTTACAGTTCAGTTTCAAAGCMCAACACTTCCTTTACTTATCCTTTAAATATTTACTCTGTTTAGAACAACCAACAGCATTAATGTACAAAGTATGATCTAGAACCCTGGAGAGTCCACAAGGTTACAAAGCTGAATTTTACAGGATTATACAGTGACAAATACAAAAATGCAAACAGAAAAACAAGTAGTCCATATACTTACAATTGGTAAAGAATAGTAGTCTTTCCAGCATTATCAAGTCCCACTATGATTACTTTGTGCTCTGCATATAGGAAAAACAAAACCACAAAACAAACAAAAAAGACAAAAATAAATTAGTGGAAACAGCAATAATTACAATTCTGGCTAATCATTCTTCCTTATTGAAGAAAGCAACTGTTTGTTTCTCTTATTTCAACACCTTACACAGATTAGTGGTGACTTCAGGACAGAAAAAAGCCAAACAAAGCCACAAAGCCTCATCTTCTCTTGAGACTACAGTCTCAGGAAAAGTCAGCACTGGAAATCTTAATAAAGGTGTGGTTACTAATGATTACTTCATCAACAACATCCAGTTTTAGAAAGAAAAGTACAATGAAAAGGTATAAYTCACAATAGTGTACCATATTAAGAACATCCAATATCCAAAGACTGCCAAAAATAGTATTAACCTAAAATTCAAGGYTCAATAATAACCATTTGTTAAGGTACCACCATCATTCACACAGTAAAACTTAAAAGGAAACTGTATTTTAAATATGCCAACAATTCTAACTTTGCAACTTCTGAACTGAAAAGTCACAGAATGACAGAATGGTCAAGGCTGGAAGATACTTCTGGAGGTCATCTGGTCAAACCTTTGCTAACCCAGAGCCACAGAGCCAGTGGCCTAGGACCATGTACATGGGTTTTTAATATATCCAACATAGAAACTCTACAGCCTCTCTGGGCAGCCTGGGGCAGTGCTCACAGCTCACAACACTCACAGCTTCAGCCTCACAGCGAAGAAGTGTTTCCTGATGTTCAGAAGGAACTTCTATGTTTCAGTTTGTGCCCACTGCCCAGTCCTGCCAGTGGGCACCACCAAGACAAGTCTGACTGTGCTCTCTTTGCACCTCTTTTTCTGATATGTGAGTCGCTCCAGTCTCTTAATCACCCTCGCAGCCCATCACTGGACTCTCCCCAGCATGTCCATGACTCTCTTGTCAGGAGAGAGCCTGAGGTGCCCAGAACTGGAAAAGAGCCCCAGATGAGGCCTCATCAGCGCTGAGCACAAAGGAAAAACCACCTCCCTCAACCTGCTGCAAAGTCCAGCATACAGAACAGTAATCTTACAATTGCAGCAATATTACTTCTTTGCAGGCACAGGGGAAGCAAAACAGAAAACAAAAAAGAACCAGCAAAAATACTCCAGATTTTATAAGTTTCTTTGTAAATAATCCTTCTTAGAATTTCAAATTCAGTAGCACAACCACTTAGAATGGTGATTCTTTTGGTACATGTGTGAAGTTACAACATACTGATCCAATTACTGACAAAAAAGCAAATCACTTGAGAGCAAAGAATTTGCARCTGAATACATAAAAATTCTGTGAACAAGATCACTTTTAAAGAGACAATATTTACAATTCTATGGCACTTATTCCAAAGCAAAACATGTTCACAGTTTGAAGATTTCCTACAAAATATCACATTTGATCTACAGGATCAAATAAGCTTCTAGATGAGAAGATCTATCATGAATCTCAAACTGGTGGGTTTTTTCCCCACAAGTGGGTGGTTCACAGAAGAATTCAAGTGTTTTGGKTTTTGGTTTGAATCTTTTATATATAGTAACCTAGGTGTTTTCACACTGAGTATTACTAGTATTACTAGAATAAAACATTCTCTTGTTTGGGACTTTTTTAAGTTTGGCAGCAGGGTAAAATGTATTTCCTTGTGCCACTTCCTTACTGTTGCATCCTGTCAACACATTCTAAGGAAAGAACATTTCCTGGGTGTAAAGGCAGTARTACTTCTAGCCTATTAACAGCAGCAGCAGTAATTAACGACTTTTCCCAATAGACAAATAGTATGAAATCCTCCCTTCTTTCCGTGCTAATAAATCAYGACTAGTAGCTTGATTGTCTATATCTTCTTCAAATTTAGTTAAAGAGTTTTCAAAGGAAAGGGCAAACACAGAAATACCCTTCTGTTGATAACCTGACATGTTGTCAACTATTGCCAGGAAGAAGATGATTCTACTTTTGCAGCATTCTRTTTGAGCTATTTCCAAGAAAGAAAAGAAATTCCAGTCAGGCATTACACGGTTCTCTTATCTTCTCACCAGAATACATCATCYTAGGCATGAATGATTGGAGTGTTGATGATACAACATCACACTACTTAAAATAATGAAGAAAAAACCGCCATTGAGATGATTGTTTTTGAAAGCTACTGAAGTGTGAATGGCTCAACACTAGCTGAAATAAAGGCACAGCATATCTGTGTTACTTCATAGTCAAATGGTGTTTCATACAGTGATTGAAAAAGCACAAACAATAAACAGTCACACAGGTGTTAATTAGTGGTGATCTTGGCATGAAAATAATAAGATGGAAACATGGGTATCTCATACAACTAGCAGTTTCCAGAACTATAGTAATGGAAAACTCTTCACTTACAAACATACTTAAAAGTTGAGTTTCTGTCTAGTTTGATGAAAATACAGAAAATTTACACATAGATGTGCATTGGAGGAAAAACATGTGAGCTTTGAAACTACCAAACTAAGACAGAACAGGATTTTAGCAAGACAACTACTTGTTTACAAGAGCAACTAGTAGAAGATAGATGCCACATTTAGGAGGAGGGACAGTTACAGGGTAAACCATAGGCAGTGATTTATTCGTGTTCTGTACTTACAGACTAACCCAAGTTTCTCCCTTTCACTGGCTGGTATTCAAACTCAGTTTAGGTTGTATTCATGAATATCTTCCCAGTCCACCATGCTCTTGGCAAAAGAAGAAAACCCATAACAAAGTTTAGAGAACAGAAGAGAAGTCTTTATTAATCAGGTAGGAAGGGGGAGAGGGGGAAAGTAGAAGAAGTAAACATATGCAGGGGAAAAAGACAAGACAGTATTAGACTACTACTATCTAAGGACTTTGGTTTTATCAACCATTTCTAGCACACTGTTTAAAAAAAATAATATATAACATTGTTAAAAAAATCTCTGGCAGTTTAGCATAAAAAAAACACAGGACAGTGAAGATTATCTTCTTGCAGATGTCAGAAAAAAATACACCATATGCTCTTTTCTTCCCTTACTCATCTATATTTCTCTGTGGTAAAAGGGTCTGAAACTGAAGATTCAATTCTCTCAACATGTTTTTCCTCTATTTTGCAAAAACTTAAAATAAAAATGAAAAAAAMCCCCTCCGCATAGTTTAATGATACTTCCAACATGCTTGGAAAAAACAGTAGTGGAAAGGGTACCAATAGTTTTCAGGCTGGGAAGAAAAACACCCATCTGGTTCCAAAGAGCAACAATCTTGGAAGCCTCAAAGTTGAAGATAGAATGCAGACAGAAGTTTGCTAAAGAGGAGCCAGGAGGAATAGCATAATTCTGAATGTCAAAGAGGTTTCAATACAAAGACTCATTTGGAACACTACCTTAGACTCTTCTCTGAAGATAAAATACATCTTGTATTTCCAGACTTGATTACAAGAAAGTCAATAGCCTTTAGTAGCCAGTGGAACCAAAACCCATTTGGTTTTCCAGATGTTGCTCTCTCCTAACCTGACAGGGACCTGCCAGTGAGCCTAAATGAAGTAAACTGTGCAGTTACAGAAGTTCAACCACCTTGAATTAGAGCTTACCATTATTTTTCTTAAAGCAGTTCTTCAACAACTGCAGCAATATTCAGAGCAATCTCTAAGACTCTGAATAATTACTGTTAAAAAAATAATTAAACCCCAGATTTGTGAGCTTCTTAAAGAACTCTATCAGACACATGCAAAAAATTAAGGTATTGACTACTGTCARTTACCTTTATCAGGGTTGCTGACGTTCACTTTCCATTTTTAACACATGGTTTTTTAAAGAGCTAYCTTGATAGTATTGATGGAATGCTAAGTCAAGCAAGTTTTACTCAGACCTGTGTTAACACAGGCATTAACTTAATTGCTTCACCATCTWTTCATACTACTACATGTTGCTTAGAAGAATGTGCCACTTGACTACTGAGTCATAGCTTCAGCAGGTCATTTTTGAAGTCTGTTTTTTTTTAAGCTTCTAAAAGTAACTTACTAAAAGTAAGTTCAACCTGAGCTAAGGTCACTTAGTAACTAGACTTTAAATGGCTGCAGGGCATGATATTTTAAAYGAAAATAATACCTGGGCAATGTTTTTTGGTCAATTAAAATACAAAAAAAAAAGGAAGAATAGTCAGGARACCATTAGAATGTCACATAGAAAAATGACAAAAGTCTATTTTAAAGCCAATTGTTTCTCTTACGAGCAAAAGTATCTCTATTTCAGTTCCCATCATTCAATTACTACTTGATTATGAGACAATGTATATTGAGAGCTGAATGACATAGGCACACCTCATCCCCCATGCTCTACTTGATGRAACACAGATGGAACTTTTCAAATCTTTGCTTTGTTTAACCTTTCTTTTTGCCAGTATCAAGTGCTGCAGACAATCACACAACTCACACTTGCCATGAGAACTGATACCAGGCTCCTCACATAGCGGGGCCTATTTGCTACTTTGCAATACTCCCTCTACATAGCCAAAATTAATCTGTAAATTACTGTGCTGGTCTGCTCAACAAGCAGCTTCACAGGACAGCCTATGAATTCTCCGAAGAATTACTGAGATTATATGCAACTGGAAGAGCAAGCAAAATCAGCTCAGAAATTACTATCCTTTATTATTAGTAATGATATTACTTATAGAGAAAAATAGTTGTGTAGTTAGAGAATATTTCCTAYTAGATCAAAAGTTTATCTTTGAAGCAAATTTTCTAGAATGGAATTTCAATTTTGGTCATGAAAAGAAACTCACGTTCTTTTCTGTGGTTACCACAAGAGGCAAAAGAAAAGAAACCCAAAGCAAAAACCAAGCAAAAGGTAACTCCAGGACCAAACCAAGACCAGGACAAACMCCAAAAGCCTCTCATTGGGMTAACTGCCAAAGAGTAAATACTTCRTGGTATTATCTCACCTATCTTAATGGTGAGATTAATTTTTCATTAACCATTTGAATATAGGAGTGTCTTAGGTTTGCATGGCAAGATTTTGATAGTGGAAAGGGCTACACAGTACTTTTTGTGAGAAACTCCTAGAAGCTTCTCTTATGTTTACGAAGCCAAGGCCATCAGCAGGTGTAATGCCTCTGGGATAACATATTTAAGATGGGAAAAGGTTATTGCACAGATGCAATTATGGACAGAGAAAAGAGGASTGAGAATAAGTGAGGGAAACAACTCTGCCAGCTCCAAGGTCGGTTGCAGAAGAAGGTGGAGGAGGTGCTGCAGTTGCCAGAGATCCACCTGCAGCTCACAGTGAGTACCACAGTGAAGAAGCAGTGCCTCTGCAGCCACAGAGGTCCACGGAGATGCAGAGAGCCACCTGCACCTCACAGGGGACACCATGCCAGAACAGGTGGATGCCSAAAGGCGGCTGTGACACCTTTGGACACTCATGTTGGAGCAGGCTCCTGGCAAGAACCTGTGGACCTTGGGAGAGTAGTCCACTCTGGAACAGGTTTGCAGGCAGGTTTATGACCCAGWGGCGGATCCGTGCAGGAACAGCCTGTGCCTGAAGGATTGTGCCTTGTGAAAAAGACCCATTCTGGAACAGTTAGTGCAGATTTGGGAAGAACACACATTGGAGGAGCCCAAGGAKGACAGTCTCCCATGGGAGAGATTCCATACTGGAACAGGGGATGGAGTCCCCCCCAWGAGGAGAAAGAGAGGCAGAGACAACACATGATGGACTGACCACAGCCCCCATTACCTGTTCCTCTCCTGCAGGGAGATGATAGAGAACCAGAAATAAAGTTAATCCTGGGGGAAAAAAAGGGAGGAGTGGGGGCAAGGTGTTTAGAAGATTTGGTTTATTTCTTATTAACCTGTTYTGGTTTGGCTGGTAATGAATTTAAATAATTTCACACATTGAGTCTGTTTTGCCCATGAGGGTAACTGGTGAGTAATCTCTCCCTGTCCTTATCTTGACCCAGAAGCCTTTTGCTATATATTCTTTCCCGTGTCCAGCTGAGGAGGGGAGTCATAGAGCTGCTTTGGTGGGCATCTGGCAAGCAGCCAGGGTCAAACCACCACAATGAAGAATAGCTTTCCTTCCAGGAAATAATATAGAATAACAAAGACAATGTGTTTTCCTGAAGATAAATACTGACATCATAAGCTACTATACAGGCAAACACTAAAAGTCACCAATTATTTCCTACTTACAGATTTCTTTGCAGTACTTCATGGAAGGAAAGGAGTTGCAGACTGCAATATTTGATGAAAACAAGAAAAAGGCACTTAATATTTTCCTGAAGAATAGTGGAAACATTGAATCTTACCAAATAGGTAAGACAGTTCAGGAAAATAGGAAATTAGTAGCAAATTCAGAAGACTCTGTTAGAAGACTTCAGGATCCCAATCCCATCCCATGAAAGACAGTTGGATACACAGATGTCAATGTGCACACACACTGAGGCTTTGCTCTGGTATTTACAGAATTAGAACAGGTAATATGCAATTGTAGTGACAAAACCATTAAAGTACACCAGACGTGCCTGCCTCCAAAAACTTGCAAGCGAGCAAGTTGCACAAAAAAGGATCTACATTTTCAGTAATTTTAAAGTTAAACGAGCTACACATTTAGAAACTTAGAAACTTGAGAGAACCATTAATAGYAACATCATGTTGCCTGCATCAAGCTCAGGGCCTCAAGGAAAAACAATATGAAGTCCTTAATTATTTAATTTTCTAACCAAAGATGGCTAGGTAAACGAAAATCATTAAAACAAATAAATTAACATATAAACCATAGTTCTCTATTTTTTTTTGATAACCATCTAAGGTAAAGGTAGCGGCAGACACAAATTCTGAACTGTGGATTGGAACAYGAGCCATGATTGCAGGGCTGGATGAACYGGGCAGGAGAGCATGGAAAGCGATACTRACCCCTTACGACCTTTTAATGTCTGGCTGGAGAACTGATTTTCTTGGGTCACTAACTRTAYTTAACTAGCATCTTTGCCAAAACACAAACAAATCTTTACTTCTAAGGCCCCTACACGTTTGGAGTTCTTTTTTTTCCTTTAAATTAAAGAATAAAGTAACATTATTTTAGTAACAGATCCCGACTTAAAAAGGAGGATCGGCGAAACCAGAAAGGCCCGTCATTGTCCGGCAAAGCTTCAGCAGYGCTGGCCGCCGTGGATCCCGTGCGCGCACCGCCTGAAGGGCTGCCCGAGGCCGACGACGCGTTTAAAGCGGCCAGGGAGGAGGAGGAGGAGGAGAGGAGGGACCACCTCGGGAACCGAAACAAAGCGACCCCGAGCATGAGGCGCCGTGGGACGAGCGCTCACGGCGCTGCACAAAGCAAAGCCCAACTTTCGGCTGGGCGGGCCTTCAGGGGAAGCCCGGGAGCTGAGCCGGAGCCGGCCCCGAGCCCCCACGGCTGCCCGCGGCCCCCGCAGCCCCGCAGGCTCCACTCGCCGCCCGCCCCGCCGCCGGCTCGGGCCCGCGCGCCCACCTTGGCTACCGAAGAGGCTCCACAGCTTGGCGAATATTAGGCCCATGCCTGGCCCCGGCTCCCCGCCGAACGCCCGGGGCACTCCGAGCTCAGCCAGGCGGCGGCGGCAGCAGCTCCCCCGGCTCCCTCCGCGGAGGTTCCCGCAGCGGCCCCGCGGCAGCGCCGAGCGGGCGGGCACAGCGAGAGGGCGGGCACGCGGCACAGCCCCGCCCCGCCAACGGCCGCACGGCCCGGCCCGCGCCCCACGGCCCGCGCGCGTCACTGCGCGTCACGGCGGCGGCCGGGGCGGGGCGGCTGTGGGGACCGGGCTGGGGAACCGCCGAGGTCCGCACGGTCGGGAGRACGGAGCCGCTCCGCAAGGAACGAATGTGGCGAGGAGCGCTTGGCCCCCGCCGCGGTGGACAGTGCCGGAGTAGGAGGCGCTGGCAGCGCGCCTCTCCCGTGCCCGTGTCCTTCAGGCCGGCGATGCTGTGGCCGGTCCTCGGCCTCTGCCGTTGGGAGGGATGGAGGTTTTCAAGGCAGGCAGTGTTCTCGTGTGTAGTAAAACTTGTGGAAGCAGTGGACTCGCTCTCAGGGCTGTGCYCCAGGTTCCTGCATACTGAGCTCTTGTGTGGGTACCCACCCGGGTTTCCTCAGCAGCACCTTGGGGAGGGTCAGTGAGCATAAGCCCGGTTCCGCCCTAGCGAGCGAGCCGGCGGGCACTTGGGTGTAGGACTGATGGAGGTACAAAANAAAAAAAAAAAAAAAAAAAAAAAAAAAAAAAAAAAAAAAAAAAAAAAAAAAAAAAAAAAGGTAAATAAAAAGGAAGCGACGTTAGCAATATCTTGTCCGATAAGCTCGGGCGCTCCCCGGGCTCTGCCGCCGCCCTCCCGTGCCCTGGTGGAGGCGCACCGGCGGCACCCGCTCCCGGCCCGGCGTGCCCGACTCCACCGTGCCCCGGCTCAGGGACACTTCCTGCTGCCGCCCCGGAGGAGGCGGGGCCGGGCGGGCCTTGGCGGTAGGTGTGGGTCGGGCGGCGGCTCGGAGTCTAAACGCCGCTGCGGAAGGGCCGACCGAGGTGCGGCTGGGCACCGGGCGCATTTCTCCCGGCCCCGGCCCGCGTGTGCCTCGGTGTCCGTCGGGGCTGAGGCGGCGGCGGCGGCGCGTCTCGTTTCACTGGGGTGCGGCCGCCTCCCGGGTACCCCTGGGTTGAGGCATACGGTCTCGGGGAGGGTGCGAAGAGCAGCGTGTCCCTTTCCTCCCTGCTCCTTGATGTTCCCTCTCCTAACGAGAGGTCGAGGGAATAAAGGCGGGAACCCTAGATTTCCCCCCCCTCAGCAGTGAGCCGACTGTGGTGTACCTCGTGTGGGAAMGGGTGGGCAAGGAAGCTTGGAAATTGTTGCTCGGCATTTGGTTCTGGTTGCGTTTGACAGCTCGCAGTGTTCCTGTACGTAGCTAGATCAAAGCCCTGGTCCGGCATCACGTTCTCCACTGCAGTTCCCCACGGAGGCACATGAAAATCCGTGAGGAGGTGGTGAATAGGGAGGGGATGCTCCCTCAGTGGCTTTCTTCTAAAGTCCGTCAAGCCTTTCCTGGGCAAGGTATGCGGCACAGCAGGTCTAGGGGGAAAAGTCTTTCTCGGGTATCGAGCCTGCTTCCTGCTGAACGTTTGAAGTCTGACTTGCACTTGACAGGGCAGTAGACAGTCTTCCTCATCAGCCTGGCTTCCTACTGTGTTTGAACTTACAAGCACCAGTCCTATCCCACCTCAGCTATGTTCCCAAGCCTGGAAGATTGCAGACTGTTCAGTCTTCCCGTGTTTGAAAGCTATCCCTATGTATCATAATCACTTTTCCCTTTTTGCTAAGCTACCTTGCATCTTTTCTGAGATCATGTCTACAGAAAGGGCATATGTATTCTGCTGAAGCAGAAGGTTATGTGGGTGTGCTCTGAACCTCCAGTCCTGCGGTTGTGACATTCCCAGTGGTTTTATACTTTTGACGGCTCTTTCTAACAGCAGAGTTGTTTTTCATTTGTATATTCAAATAGTTAATTAATCTCCCTGAACTAAGTACATTTGTATTTTTTTTAAAGGCTAGTTTATTAGGTTTCTGAAGAAAAAGCTTCCCAAATGTGAGACATATGGGGATGATTTTTGTGTTCTGTGATTTTTTTTCCTGTARTGTAGGCATTCTATGACAACAGGCACATGATATGTCACATTTTCTGAAATGTTAAAACTCAGCTTTAGTGATTTCGGTTGTATCAACTGGTGTAGTAGTGCTAGATTGTAATACTGTTGTAGTACAATTAGATTCCCTGGAAATAGCAAAGTAAATTATTTGGGCCATTTTGTTAGGTTGTAAAACATCAATTAATTAAATAATGGTTTCTTTCTTTCAATAGCTGCTAATGTTGCGAATAAGGCTTTGAAACTCTCACTCATGAAACTTGGCCTTTGTCTGGACTCAAAAGTAAGTCTAAATAAGATCACATTCTTCTAGCATTAAGATATTAATTGAATCAGAAATTTTAAAAGCAAAAAAATATTTCTCAGGGGCTTTGTGTGATGAAAGTGACAAATAGCCTCTTATTCAAATAAAACAAATACCAAGCATTCCAGTCTCTTTTCTCTTAAGTATATTTAGTACAATGAAAATGTATTTTAGTAGTCAAAATTCCTTGTTACAAATGGAATAAACCTAGAGTGATGTTCTCTCTGCCATTTAAGCTGCTGTAAGGAAATTTAAATGTTTAGGAAGTCTCATTTCAGACTGAAGTGTATATAATTTTTCAAAATACAGATAATAGATGGGTGGGCAGATACCATTTGGGAAGATAACTGTATTTTRTTACCTACAGAGAAAAATGGTAAAGAATAAAATCTCTATCAGGACTGAATTACAGTAAGACTTTTTAGTTGGGCTTTTCAAGAGGATTTAAAGCAACATCTTGAAATTTCCAGTACCTTTTATCCATGCATTTTTTTTCTCCAGAGAGCTTGAAGATTTATTTTAGGGATCATTTTTAGGATTTAAGGAATTTCTCTTGCATTAATCCTTCACTATTCCTACTGTGAATTTAACACAAACTCAAGTGAAAGCTTACTTAATTTTTTAAGTATATATGTGAAAAAAAAAAAAAAATCATTGCTCACAGTCATACACCTCCCCCTGTTTTGAAGTTTGGATAAATTTGAACTATGGAGTAAACCTATGAAGTTAAGCTTGACAAAAAGAAACCTGACAGGGAAAATTGAGAAGATTATCTCTGAAAATGAACAGATCTGAGGATGGATTAGAAAATAGATACAAAATTTAGGACTTAGAAGAGTCAAAGCTAAATTCCATCAAGAGCCTTTGTGAGCGCATTCTGGAGCTCTGCAATTCGTTCTCCCCAGGGATTGCTAGGGCAACTTTAACAGGACAGGGTTTAGAGGTGCTAACACTTCCTTCTCATTTCAAACATCAGTGCAGTAGCCCCAGAAGGTCTGGGTTGGAAAGATGTGACAGCAAGGAAAGGAGTAACCTTGTTGTAAGGTGACTGCAAATGCTGAGCATGTTAGTGAACATATTTTGCAGTGTAACTGAGAGTTGTGTTACAGTCATATCCTGATCAATATTTGGAAATTTGAGTGCAATAAAATTGCATTATTAAAATAAGAAGAATAAGAAGCCACAGCTTAGTTTGTGGGTACATCTTCTGCTACATTTGTAAACTTAAAGAATACGATAAGAACTACTAAGGAAATACTTCGCTAATTTCAGTTTCTTATCAGCAGATTTTAAAAATAAAGGAAGATGTCCTTTTTCCCTAAAATCTGTTTCCAGTATGAAGTTGAAGAGTATCTCAACACAGTGTTCAGAAATAATGAGGTATGTGACATAGTTACTACTAATCATCCACAAATAATCAATTTTTTTTGTGTAACTTTAATATCTTACAATAAAATACTGTTTTCACATTGGACACAGAGTTTCATATAGAAACTACTTTTATATTTAAAATATAAAATTAGTATTTATGCCCATTGGCTTAAATTAACATACAAATATTTAAATTAAGCATAAATCAGATAATTCAATTTTGGATCCCATTGAAGAATGATCATAGATAATTAAGCACATGTTAACCACATAATATTGACAAGAACATCTCTTACCCAGATGTAGACCACTACAGACAATCTATTAATTCCTAATGCTAAGGATGGCATTTTTTAAATACCAATTTTTATGTACATTTTTATCTGTATGAAAATTTCTAAGTTTTGAATCTACTCTTCCATTTCCATAGGAATGGTCTTAGTACAGTATCACAGAGCTCTCTAGCAGTTGCTGCAGACTGTTTACAGTGATTTTGCTGATAATGCTCCTTTTCCAAGAATTTTTTATTAAGGCATTTATGAGGCTTCCAGTGGAATTAGGCTTCCAGACAGAGCCATTCTTCACTATTGCACACCACACAACCATATCCCTCAGTTTCTACAGAATGTTTGTTCAGTGGGGTTCTTTGGCATTGAGCAAGAAGCTTCTATGTGAATCTCTTAATAATAAAATCTCTTCTTTCACTTTCAGCTTATCACTGCTTTAGGTACAAAGGAGGCAGAGAATAAATACCAATCTCTGTTAAGTCATCTGTCTCATCCACCAGGTTTTACAACTGTAAGAGTAAATACCCACTTGGCCTCAGTGAAACATGTGAAAAAATTGCTGTTTGAAGAGATCCAGAAGGTTTGTGCAATTTCTTTGTTACAGAAAAAATAATAGGTATTTGATCTTTTGCCTGAACCTTTTCATTACTGGAAACTGTACCTTACCTTCAAGCATCCACTATTATTAATATTATAGAATCACACTGATATCGTATCAGCATTAAACATTAAATGAAAATTTATTGTGTACCAGTATCCCTTCTCTAATACTTCCAAGAAAGGCAGTAACAGGGGGAAAAGACATCCTACTCTCTTTCACATAACAGACCCATATCCAAACCTTAGATAGGATTGAGGTACTGCTGTGGAAAAAAATGTAAAGGTATTAAAAGTCTGTTGAGAAGTTGATAGATAAAAAGTGTAGTTCAGTATGCTGTCTTCAGCATGCTTAGAACACTTCCATTTAAGATTAAAGGAGAATGCCTTTAATCCATTGTAAAAACTGTTCAGAAAAGTGAGAAAATCARTATGTTTTGGAAACTGGAGCTACAGTGATGCCCTG